CCTAACTCATTTAACCGGTAGGTCTGTCAAACTCCTCCATTTCAGAGATGGTCCTGCCCCAAACCAGAAGGAAGGAATGCATATTCAGAGAAGCCCAGAAGAATCTAGACAGACAGGCCTTGCTGGGTTTCCCCAGTCAGATTATTAGCATGAGATCATACCAGTTTTGTCTAATCATATTTATGTGGCTGTCCATACTTTTTTGAACTTAAGCATAAAAATGGAAAATTTCCTCTGTATTTTTGGGTCTTCATTCTGAAGGCTCCTGTGTATTCACGTTAAATAAATTTGTGTGCCTTTTCTCCAATTAGCCTTTGTGAACTGATTTTTCAGCAAACTTTCTAAAGAAAGTAGAGTTTATGTGTTCTATTTAACAATCCATAAAGTCCCAAGTTATTTGTGTTCTACAATTGACCTATTTTCACAGAATTATATTTGTCAGAGGAAAAAAGAAAGCAGAGTGATATAATAGAAGGTATGTGTGGTTTGGTTTAGAATCCGTTCTGAACTTTTGGCTCCTCTACCTATTATCTAAGCGACCTTATACAAGGCACTTACGCTCTTGAAGCCTCAGCTTCTACCTCTTTGGAGTTCACAAAAGAATACCTCTCACAGCTGAGAAAATGAAGTGTGACAATGTACGTGATTCTCTCAGCATGTGGAAGGCCAGTTAATATTGAAAAGCCCCAGGACAGAACAGTTGATCTTACCACCTTGGCTCAGAAATATCACCTTCCTTTTGAAACCTGTTCCTCCTCTTGGATTTTCTTGCAAGTGAACACCACTGTAAATCCACTTCAGAAACCCAGGACACAGCCTTTTCCCTTACCCTCCATGATCAAGTCACATAAACTCCTGTCTCTAAATAGATCTTAAATCTGTGGATGGGCTGCCTTTCTCAACCTTTTTCACTATACAAGATCACCAGCTTCTCTAGCTTAGATGCTCCTTTTCACTGAGTTTCCTGTCTCAGCTTTGTTGCCCTCCCATCCATCACCAGCCAAGCAAATCTTATTGTCTCAGCTCTTCAGTCATCCCCTTACATCAGGAAAAGCTCACCCAATTTCTTAACATGACCTATAACACACTTCATGATCAACACTCTGCTTACTTCCCAGGCTTCTCTCTTGCTGCTCCTCTGTTCCCTTCTGGTACAGCAGTTGAAAGAAACTACCCTCCATTCAGGACTTGTAACTCTCAGACATACTCCCTTTCACCTCCAGACACAGGCCACTGCACGTTTGTGCTTCCTCCTTGATGGACTGCTCTTTTCCCAAGGCTTCTCTTCACTTGGGCAACAACTAATCAAAACTGAGACCATGTCACAGATAACACTTTGTCACTTGATGGTATCCCAAGTACGTAGGATTGGCTGTAACATGTACTTCATGCCACAGGAGTCTGGATTGCCGAGAGTCACACAGGTCGGAGAAAGTGGTGTGAGGAGAAGATACAGGCCTCCTGCCATGTCGCTCCTCCTCCATCATTCTGACGTCAGCCTTATTCATCTTCATTGCATTTGCTCTCTTCATTAAGACTTAGAAACATTATTTTCATGTGCGTTCAAAATGTTGTACATTCATTGTGGGTTATGGGTTTAGCACCTACAACAAACCCAGTGTCACTTCCTGTCCAAAGCCTTCTTTGACTCTCCTCGCCAGTGGAAGTCATGGCTTCTGTGCTCCTGTGGCACTTGCAAATATTCCTGCAAGATTTTTCATACTTATCTCCTTCCCATGATGTTATGAATAGTTTTGAAACTAGGACTATCCTGGATTCATTTTATATCTCTTGTACCCAGGACTGTTCTTGGGACAGAGGAGCACTGAATTATTTGTTGAACTTAATTGCACTCCAGAGCTGAAAAATAATGAATGAGAGCAACTAAAGACATGCCACACACAAACACACAGAAAAAGATGCAAGTTTGAAAAAAACAAATTAAGATGATAGCTCTGCCTTCTGGAGATACGGAGTTTAAGAAAAGGCCTGGCTCTGGCTAACATAAAGACCAAGAAGGCAATAGAGAAGATGCTGCAACTATAGGAAACGATGTCCTCTCCAGGTGAGTACCAGTAATCCCTCAGTGACCCTCCTGCATCTTTGAATTCAGGACAGAGAACTTGAATTGGGAAGGAAGACACTCTCACTTTCATAGAGCTGGACAATTAAGAGCACATTCTATGCGTGGTCTGGAAGCCCAATATCAGCGCTAGAAAAGCTGGTTTCACAATGTTACAGGTTTTTAAAATGAGAGGATTAAAGTCATCCAATTGTGATAGAAATGAAACTAAGCTTGGGACAGGAATCCAACTATTAGTCCTGGTTTTCTCCTGGGGCCTTGGGCAAATCTCTGAGTTTAATTCCCTCCTCCACAAAATAAGAGGTTTGAACTAGATGATCTCCAAGGATGTTTTCTGGTTCAGGAAATCTGCAATTTAAGGGCTTGATACAGGGATTTACATAAAGTACCTACATAGCCAAGGGTGAGAAGACAGTCCGTCTCATTAATGTATGTACAACAAACATCCAAACTCTTCCTTTTCATTCTTTACTTGATTTGGACTAGCAGAAGCACACAAGCATGACTACATCCCCTCATCCATACATGTTAAGCAGCACAGCCAAAACCTTCTTTAACAAAAACTTGGAGATACAGTGAAGCTGTGAAGCAGGAGTTTTCAAAATATCATAATCAATGAGGCAGTTTTTTGAAAACACAAGTTCCAAGGCTTTGCTGCAGATCTGCTGCTAAATCGGGATCTCTAAGATAGAGCCCTAGAAATGGTATTTTTTACAAAGCTCCCCTTTGATTTTGATTTGGGGATCATTTTTAAAGGAAAATTTATGTTTCTCAAGGAGTAGCTTATGAATTACTTTCATATGAGTTATCTAAGATGCTTGTTAATAGCTGGAAGTGTGACCAAGAATCTGCATTATAACAATTCTTCCAGTGACTTTATCAATACCAATATCATCCATAACATAGTGTATATATGTTTATGAATAAAATCTTTACAAGGACAAAACCTAACAATCTAGAAAACAATTTAGTAAAGATAGGAAATCATGATTGCAGTATAGGTTAATGTCATTGTTAATACTTAAATTTTTCATTTCCTTTAAGCTCCAAGACAATCCTGTGATATCAGAATGGTTACCCTCATTTTACTGGCAAACTGAAGTGTTAGGAAGTTCGGGCAACTTACCCGGAATCACAAGATAAATAAATGTATGCATTGAAACTGAAACAAATGCCACAAAGCTAAGAAACAACCTATACTGCTGCAAAATGTGTAGTTAAGCACTTAATACACCTTTAATTAAACAATTGCCGAGATCTTATCTGATAAAGAAAGATAGAAATACATCTCAGTTCCTGTTGGTTTGTTTTATTAGCTGCTACACAAATGTTAATGTCATATAATAATCAAGATAAAGTGACTGTTTACTAAGCAGCAATGTTTCAGTGATTTCCTGGAATCATAAAATGATCTAAGGTAGTCATCATTTTAGTCAACAACCCTCAAACACAAATATTTATAGTTGTGAAGCCCAGAATTGTGCTGTCCAAGGTCTTATACAGCTAGTTAGGAGCCCACTCAGCTCTAGACCTTAGCTGCATGACTTTGTTTCATTGCTCTCCTTTACACCAGGGTCCCCAAGCCCTGGGCCAATCCATGGCCTGGTACCCATCCATGGCCTGTTAGGAACTGGGCCACACAGCAGGAGGTGAGCAACAGCTGAGTAAGCAAAGTTTCATCTGTATTTACAGCCACTCCAAATCACTCACATTACCACTTGAGCTTTGTCTCCTGTCAGACTAGTGGTGGCATTAGATTCTCATAGGAGCATGAAACTACTGTGAACTGCACATGTGAGGGATCTAGGTTGTATGATTCTTATGAAAATCTAATGCCTGATGATCTGACACTGTCTCCCATCACCTCCAGGTGGGACCATCTAGTTGCAGGAAAACAAGCTCAGGGCTCCCACTCATTCTATATGATGATAAACTATATAGTTATTTCATTATATATTATAATGTAATAATAACACAAATAATATGCACAATAAATGCAATATACTTGAATCATCTGGAAACCATCCCTACCCTCTCCAACCCCAAGTCCGTAAGAAAACTGTCTTCCATAAAACCAGTCCCTGTTACCAAAAATGGTTGGGGACTGCTGCTTTACAACATTGACTCTGTGTTCTTAAATCAATATGCTGATTACTTGCTTTAGTGTTACAATAACACTTCATTAGACATGAAGATTTTTTTCAGGGAATAAAACACAAAATGCTATCACTACAAATACATTTTTAGGACAAGGTTTGCTTTTTTTCTTTTTTCACTTATCAGTTCTTCTAAATTGATCTAATAAAATATTTGTAAAAATGTGTGCTTGTCTTTAACTCTGGTAAATTAAAGTAGAAAAATTCTCCCAGATTCCTCATTCTTGAGTTGATAAGTTTCAGGTATAGGACAATAAATAATAGGCTTTTCATAATTATGATAAAACTGCATGGACCTTAGCTATTATGAGACCTAGCTTTAATTTTTAAAAAAAATTCACTAAAAGTGGTCATAGAAAAGCCCTATTAACTTTTAACACAATATAGATTCTTTCCTTTCCTGTGGACCTTTTTCTGTTTTTTCTCATTGATATGACAAACTTTCTAAAATATATGGACACACATATATTTTAACAAAAAAAGTTAATGAAAAAGACATCATCAAAGAGAAGTTTCCAAAGAATAAACCAAATATTTATGAGCTATAGATAGATTTGGTGAAGATTTTCTAATTAAGCTTTGGTTTATTTATTTTGTTGTTTGACAAGTGGTAGATTTTTGCATGTGTATTACTCTCAGTCAAATTTTGCATACCACTTCGGAGTAAATATCCATTTCCTGTGAAGTATTTTATGGTAGAAACCACTTCTTTCACAAAATCAATATATAATTTCCTAAATAAAGAAGAAAAGGATACTTACAAATCTCTGTTTCAAATATGTTGCGTTTATTCTGAGACAGGTTTAAGAAGAAATTCTGGTTAACTTTCTTTCCTGCACATTAAAAAAAAAAAAAAAAAACTATGAAGAACCAGAAAAGGTGGTAATTCGGTTAATTAATCAAATTTTAACTATTTTTTGGCTTTCTAAAACATTTAGTCAAAACTGGTAAACACCATGACTTGCCTGACTTTCTTGGGAAAGCAGAACCTCTAATTCAATCGTAAAGTTTTCTATTAAAAGTCAAAATGGCTTTATTTAAAATAACAGGTATTAGTTACTAGGATCATGAGCTACAAAATCCAGTAAATAATTGCTGCATTGATGCTCTTAGGGATCAATGTCAAGTTTAAAAAAGCATCATGTAAAGACAACTGATCATTACAGGAAACATTTGTAGCCACATAAAAATGACTGTAGAATACTTGGCATCACACCATCTTTGGAAGTTTGTAGAAACACATCACACTTCAAGTCTATAATTATAGAGAATCTTCTGCACCCTTCGTAAGTGTCCTGAGGCATTGTACCAATATTCCCAGTTCCCACATAAGGATTATGTCAAAGGAATCTAACCATCTTGCTCTTGGAAATCAAAATAAACTACCTATGTGTAATTCCTACTCACAGAAGAGGCCTTATATTTCAGGGCTTGGCATCTGGCATAAGAAGGGTGAAAAATAGGCTGGGCATGGTGGCTCACGCCTGTAACCCAGCACTTTGGGAGGCTGAGGCGGGTGGATCACGAGGTCAGAGGATAGGGACCACTCTGGCCAACATGGTGAATCCCCCTCTCTACTAAAACACAAAAAATTAGCCAGGTGTGGTGGCACGTGTCTGTAGTCCCAGCTACTTGGGGTCCTGAGGCAGGGGAATCGCTTGAACTGGCAGGCGGAGGTTCCAGTGAGCCAAGATTGCACCACTGCACTCCAGGTTGGCATCAGAGAGAGACTCCATTGCAAACAACAACAACAACAACAACAACAACAAACAACAACAAAAAGAACAGAAGGGTGAAAAATAATGGGAGTATGAACCATCAGTATGCACATTAGCCACTGGTAGCAATAAGGCACTTTGCAAACTCCTTTCACCACACTCTCACTGCCTCAATTCAACCTCCCTTTCACTATCCCTGGAATGTGGCAACAACATCCTAATGATTTTCTTGCATGAATTCTTGCTTCTTGCAAATCCATCCTTTACACGTCAGGTAGAATTGTTTCAAAATAAATATAGTCATAATTATTCTATAACTAACGCTTATTGGCCTGCCTTATCACCTACAATATCAAGAGTCCACATCCCTTCACGTGGTACATGGTGCCCTCCAAGAACCAGCCCCACTCTACTTCTCCTTCCTTTTCACTCATGCCCAACCTGCACAAATCCTAAAGCTCCACAGTCACACTCCACCAGTAGAATCCTGTGCTTTATTTCTGTCACTCCTGTGGCTGAGTTTCTTTGCCTTCAATCTCCTCCCCATCCCCTTGCTAGTATCTCTTCTTCATCTACTCTGGGTCAACTTGTGCAACACTTTCCAGAGCCTTCTATGCCTCCCTCAGTCTAGGCAGGTTCCTCCCTGTGTGCTTTAAAACATCCGGGTATATATCTGTCTTTGTGCTTATCACATGCATTACACATTTCGGATTAGTGTCTGCCTTCCTGCTGCAAACACATTTTTTTAAGCCTTTTGAGGGCACGGACTGTGACTCATTTGTCTTGTCCCCAGCGCAGTGTCTCACAGATGGTAGGAGGAGTGCAATAAATATCTGTTGAATGTCAAGGTGCATTAGGTGATTTTCAGACTTCGAGCTGCCTGAATGCATATTTTATCACTTTGGAAGAATTTTAAAATCAAAAGCAGACATTATTTTAACCTTGTTCCCATACTCAGTTTCTCAAATGATCTTTGCTCTTCCCCTCATTCTTTCCCTTGGACTTTTTCCTTCAATGAGTCCTGTATGTCCAGACCAAATATAAGGAACTAAGAAGAGGAAGTGAAATATAAATGAAGAATGATGATACAGAAAGTAGTAAAAAGATAAAAAACTGGTAAACTTCAAAACTTATATAATGTAATGTAAATATGGACTCCTAAATGACATGATGAAGAAAACAAAGCTTTGTCTTCCTAATTTTTCCAACCATTTGGACACAGTTTTTGGCAAAGGTCTAGTAAAAACTATAAATAAAGTCTGTTAAATAAAACTAAACATTACTATTTGCATTTTTAAAATGCATGTTTAAATTATCCCTATAATTTTATACCCTTTCCATGGTTAATTTTTTTTTATTTTACAGAAATTCACCTATCCCTGTCTATTGCAATACAACCAAAAAATAATAGTAAAAGAAAGAAAGAAAGAGGAGTGAAATAGTTATTCTTTTCCTCTCGACTTCCTTGCAGTTTATGTTACAGACAAATATACCTATATGGCGGACTTTGAAAATATTTTATCCATTTTTTTATTACTAACATACATAAAAATTCAGATTTAATGAGGATATGCCTAACACAAAAATACTAAAGGTTAAGAGACTGTCAGAGTCTACTCATCTTTTAAAATATCAATTATCAAATATTTTCCTAACAAAAGTGCAGTAATTCTTGAAAAGGTTTCAAGAAGAGTAACATGCCCCTAACAAATACAAAAATAATTTTTGTGTGTACATAACTCCTATATATAAGCATTTATCCTATAAATTATTAATATTTCTATACTAATAGTCTATTATAATGTATTTGCTATATTATAATTATTATAAATGTCACATTAACATACAATAAAAATAAAATATAAATAGGTATAATTAGATGTTCTCTCTCTCTCTCTCTTTCTCTCTCTTTCTCTCTCTCAGTCTCTCTCTCAGGCTAATTTTAACCTCCACCTCAGTTCAAGCAATTCTCTTGCCTCAGCCTCCCCAGTAGCTGGGACTACAGGTGCACACCGCTACATCTGGTGTTTCAGTAGAAAGGGGGTTTCACCATGTTTCCCAGACTAGTAGCGAACTCCTGAGCTCAGGCAATCCACCCGCCTTGCCCTCCCAAAGTGCTGGGATTATAGGTGTGAGCCACCAGGCCTAGTCAGAATATTTTCTTTTTCAATTAAGCCCTTAGCAGAAGGCCTGCGTTCAAAATGGAGACAAGCAGAACTGCTCTGGATACCTCGGGCTTCAAGGTCTGATGCTCTACCCACTCCCTCCCTCCTACTCCTCTTCTCCCCTCAGGGAAAACTACATGTCAACACTGCCACTTTAGAGATGAGGTTACCAGGCTGGAGATGGAACAATAGGAGCATTTCAAGAAAGTGTAACAACCTAGCTAAAAATATTAATCTTGGTGCTTGTCCATCCTCCTATTTGATGGATTATCAGTCCTTGTTGCAGGTGTCTCTGCATGTCCCACGCAGACCCCAGTTGTAAATATAAATACTTAAACCATGTACTGATAGGATTTATGGTAGTTTTTGATACTAGGGTTTGGTAAAATAATAAATATTTATTTTTCTTCCAAATATAATTTTCTAACTTGAGTTTTGATTACTCAATCAGCCAACCATGTTAATATGCAAATAATATGCATAAAGGAGAAGGATCTATCAGATCTCAAGCACAAAATTTCAGGGGGTGCCCAAAACCTCAGAAATCAAGATAAATAACATGTAAACACCAAACATTTTAAAAATAAAAATTTATGCAATGATCTATGATGAACAAAATATCAAAATTTTAAATATATATTTAACCCTGAATTTGTATAACTCAGGCTTATATATCTCACCTGGTTCAATGACTTCTCTGAAAAAATAAATTGTAAATATAAAAATCATATCAGATTAGTTACATTATGCAAATTTCTGCCTCAAAACACCAAGGACTGTAGAAGGAGAAGCAAATGTAGTTTGGAGGACAAAGTCTAGGCAAAGGCATGTTCCGGTAAAGGCTTTACACTTGGTCTGTACGACTGCAGATCAAGTTTAGTTGCTTGGGAACAAATAGGCAACTAGACAGCTATAACAAATGAGATAAGACTTAGCCTATGCTTTCATTTAAACTATTTTACAATGTCAATGAGCAACTAAATCTAGTTATAGCTACTTCAATAAGTATTTTTAATATATACATATATATATATATATATTTTTTTTTTTTTTTTTGAGACAGAGTTTCGCTCTTGTTTACCCAGGCTGGTGTGCAATGGCGCGACCTCGGCTCACCACAACCTCCGCCGCCTGGGTTCAGGCAATTCTCCTGCCTCAGCCTCCTGAGTAGCTGGGATTACAGGCACGCGGCACTATGCCCGGCTAATTTTTTGTATCTTTAGTAGAGACGGAGTTTCACCATGTTGACCAGAATGGTCTCGGTCTCTTGACTTCGTCATCCACCCGCCTCGGCCTCCCAAAGTGCTGGGATTACAGGCGTGAGCCACCGCACCCGGCCCTCTTTTAATATATTTTTAAAGGCAAGGCATAGTTCTAAAATATATTAAAAACCTCAGTTAAAATGTATCTAGTCACCATCATCTGACTGTGTGAAGCAAATTAACCATTTCAACTGTAAGACTTAGTTTTAAAAGTCTACTCTTAAAAATATGTATTTAACCTCTCAAGCATTACAATGGTGAAAACAATTATCAGAGAGATGAATCATGATGACATTAAAAAGAATGAGCATTCATGAAGATGTTTCCTGCCCACCAACTCAGATGAACTATCTTAGGAGAATGAATGACTCTGCCTGACACATAGTAAGTGCTCAGCATATATATATATATATATATATATATATATATATATATATATATATACTGAATGAATGAAATAATAAAAGCTGAAAGATGTCTGGAAACAGGTATACCAGGACTAGATGATAAAGAACACTGAAATAGAGACTTCACACTGTGGGCGTTGAGCAAAGGTTTGACAAAGTTTAACAATAACAACAACAAAAATTGTGATTTCTTATAAGAAAGAACGGGTGATGGGGTGGATTGATAGTAAGCAAATAGCATATCTAGAGAAAGTTTTTAGAAATAGCAGTGGCGATGGGCA